CGTAGGGTGAACTGGATTTTCACTTTTTTAACAGGAAGTGGCAGTTAAATCCTATAAAAAAGTCCTGGAATAGGTAGCCTATATCTTGAAGGTGCACCAGGCGGCCATCAAATTCGCTGTTTTAAGCCCCCCCCTCCCTCCCCCCACCCATTAATTATTTCCTGAGATGCTGTTTTTGAGAGTACAACGTGCATCACTTTTATATACGAAAACCAATTGGTTTGAGATTTTGTATAAGTATATAGTGATGCCAAGTATAACTTTTGTAAACGGGGGGGGGGGGGGGGGAGGTAAACACATGCTCTATTTTTCATGGTAAAGATGTTAGCAAATTTGCTCCATGTATGCAACGGTACAGTTGCACGAAATAAGTTGTAGTACGGATTGTGGTCCTCGCGTAAAGAGTGTTGTAATAGGCTACAATGAACCGTTGATTTTCTTCCAGCCCCACTGTTCAGTATTTTTGGTACTACGAAGCCATATCGGAAATTGGTAGAATACTCGTGAGTAATGCTGAGCAGCGGCCACTCAAGTTAGTGGTAATAATTCGGCCCTGATTTTTGCTTTTCCCACAATTTTTTAAATTGGTAAAACCTATATGAATTAAAGGAAGATTTCAAATTTTCTTCTCACCGTATACCATCAGAAAAAGGGGTTCACCAGCTTCTCTTACTTCTGGTAGGGTTGAAATTTTGGTCATTGAAGATTCTCACTATAGCCAATTGCATTTTGTTTTGCAATAGTTTGAGAAATGGTAATTTTTGCTTCTGAAACATACAATATGTGGTATCACTACTGCAAAAATTTTCTTTTTAGTTTTGCCTTTGTCTAACTTTATCTTTATATTTTTTGGTGGTAAAGGCAAGAGAACAAAGGAATCAACATCCTCGCTGCCTACACGCATGTTCCTCCATTGTTAAACATTTATATTGTTCATACTTTCAGTAAAAACAAGCCGATACAACAAAATATCGAAGGATCCTCAGGATTACCATCACTTTTTTAACGACCATCTATTTTTATCTTGGATGATACATATAGTCAACAAAAATGCATCAATTCATGTCCTGGGCATTGAGATAATGCTGTTATGTTTTTCCAAACGATCTTGGTGCATAAATAACAATTTTGAAAACTTGGATGGAAATACATATATCCGCCAAAAAAGGCATTAAATTCATGTCTTGGCCATTGCGATAATGTTCTTGGTCTTTTTCCCAACGATCCCGGTGCAAGAATAACAACTTTGATATGTTTTGAGCAGAACACGTCATAAAGAGCAGAATTTTTTGTCTTCCTTATTTCGCTGGTGCCTTTAAACACTGAAAGTGGATACGATACGGAGCAAGTTCATACTTGAAGACTTCCACGAGATCATCCTATTTCCTAGTTCTGCGTATACGGTAAAAATCCGATCAGGGAAAACTTTACTGTGTGAATGAGCCGTTACGACAGGTGGGCGAGCGGCGCGAAGGTTTTTAAACCTTCATTTTGGGTTGAGCACACTAGGTAACGCTAGGGACTCGTCGAATTCTTAAACAGAATATATTTATGTATAAGTATACAAAGTTACAAAGACTTCGCAATTTTCTTGGATATTTGACGAATTTGGATACAATTTGACTGTACTACTACGCCAGTAATTTCAATAGTGATTTTTCTAACAAAAGCTCACTGGAGCTTGCTATACACATAGGTATACTTGCTTGGAAAGATGGGCTTTTTTTCCTAACGCAGCAATAAGATTCTTTGCGAATTTCTCGCTATAACCAGACTAATCAATGAGGCCTCTCTTTTACATCCAACGTCATTGTTTTAATGTTTTCTCCATTATCTTTTATTGACAGGAGCGAAAAGTAAATGGGCCCTAATTTGGTTCGTGCTGTTTCTTAAATAGTTCGTTTATGATTGATCGATGGACAATATAGCAACCAATAATGAGAAGGGTGAATAGACTAATCAAGCTGTTACCGTTAGGAATCGACTAGAAATATCATGCTCGTTTTCTGTTGCCTACTTGGTTAAAGTTAAAGCGTTCCTATTTCATTTATCAAGTATATACAGGTACCTATACGTTTCGAGAGACTCTTGTTGCGAATGGCAGTCTGAGATGGTATTATTTATTTCGATTGATGTAGTGTAGGTCGGAGTCGTGAATTGAATGTAGATTGGAAAACTACTCTTTTTTTTTTTGGTTTGCACAACAGTCGAGTGACAGGGGTTTAACAACCTAGGCGTGTATAATCCATTTCTTTATATTTTTAAACTTGAGAACTACTGCAGCTTAGTGTGTGACGGTTTTTTTCATCTTGACATCATTACTCTACTCAAAGCTCATTTGATTGTAAATTGTAAATAATTAGTAATTACCTATAGACTATTGCCATAAGAATGAAATTCTCTTCTTATGTGGCGGGGACAACTTGATTTTCATTTAAGAAATACCAATAAATTCATACGATCATCTTAATTTTTATTTTTCAATGCGGTTGTTTATACTTGCACCGGGAAATCACTTGTATCGCGGTTTTCTGCTATTTCGACATATTCGACGATGAAAACTTTTCCGCGCGTAATCCCTCTTTAGGTCCTTCTCCGCGAATTTGTTAATTCGCTCACCGACGCGAGATGTAAAACTTTCCGTACAGAATTTCGGATTATGAAATAAAACAACTTTCTAACTGTTGCTGGATTTGAATCTGAACCAAACACTTTACGGTGTGGGAGTCACCATCAAAATTTCTTTACCACGAAACTATAGGCTCCCGTGGCCTTAATTTCCTAATTCTCTGGACTCGCCCTTATACTCTTTCCGAATGGACGAGATCACCCACACAATGACGCTAAGTATATAGATCGTATCATCATCTAAAATAGGAATTGGAGGAAAGTAGTGTAACTTCCCACTATGTTTATTGTCCATCTCAATATCAATAAATTAACAGAGTGATTAGACATGACTATCGTAAGTATATGTGTAATATGGGTAGGTACTCTAAAACAGTAAATATCGCACGCCACTGGATCTAAACAACTACCTTTAATGCATTGTACAGTGGAGCATTCAACTTATAAACGTCTATGTCTTTATAAACACTTTGCACATTCTAAGGGGGTCTAGAGCAGGGGCGGATGGGCCAACCTTGCCACCGGCCCTGGCATTACTGTTACTGCGGAACCGCCGGGGGTGGGGGCTTCAAAATTTTTTTAATAAAGCGGAAAATGGTTGAATTTTATTTTTATTTTAGGACATCTAGTTTAAATAATACATAAGTAAGTGAAATAGTCCGAACTTACCATAGGTAAATAGGATGACTAAACTATCTTAGTAAAGCTTTTTATTTCAGCAGCCAGTTAAAATTTAACCACGCCCACTTCGGCAAATTTAAAAGAGCTAACTTGCCTTTTTCCTTGGAAATATGCTACATTAGCTGTAAACTTACTTAACGGAAAAGTAGTTTTTTCTAAAGAAATTCAGGAATTGTTTCGAAATTGGCGTCGCATAACGCATAAACTATTTAGGTAGGATTTATTTAGGTACATTTTGCAAATTTGAAGTTGTTATAAAGATTACAGTCCTACGGATGGTGAAAGTGAAAAAAGCGTATTACTTATTAGAAAGATGACATCAGACATCAACATCAACATGTAATTATGTAAGTCTAAGCGCCTTCTAATTTGTTCACCGCGCCACGCCGGACTCCACCTGCCCATATGGAACCGGCCCTTCGGGCACTTGCCCGAATGCCCGGCCGTCCCATCCGCCCACTGGTCTAGAGGTACGTGGTTCAACGGCGCGCATGATTACCTGGCTTTATTTATACCCTGTTTTTCACCATAGACAGCGATATTGAGATCGAACAATAAAACTTAGTGGGAAGTTACATCTACTTTCCCCCGATTCTTTTTTAGCTGATAACCAATCTGTAGTTAACGTGGACAATCTTTACCTGGCTCTCATTGGTCTGTAAAAAAATCAGCTTCATTCATCCAACCGTAACCTAGTTATATCGGTAGAAAGTTCGTCAAAAACCAACTAAGAATTGTTTTCTACAAAGTTATCAAATGCTTGCGATTTTTTTAAGAGCTATCATCGTTTTCATTTGGTGTATAACTTATTTTCTCAAAAAACAACCATTTAAAATTGGTACCGCAGCGCCTTATAAGTCATATGACCTGAGGCGCTAGACGATCGATTTTAGCATAGTCGGATAGGCCAAAGTGGAACTCCGTCGGTTAAAATTTTGGTCACTCTCGTTCAATGGATTTCGAGCTAGCTCCCCTACCACAAGATGTGTTTGTTATTTAGGTAGAATAAAATCAACCTGTCAATTAAACTGAATTTATTTAGCAAACACTCATTACAAATGAAATAGCAAATATTTGTACAAAAAATTCATGAAATAAAACACAAACTAATAACAAATGTTTAATTGTATACAGTGCCAGCTAATTTCTTTTTACAGTGACTCATTAAATAAAATAAATGTTAAACGGTAAAATTCTAAAATTGTACCAATCGCAAAACCTGATGTTTCACCTTTCGACAGTTCCTTACTATACCTACATTTAACAAAACTTCCATCTGTTACCGCATTCATTACACAGTACAAATGTAGTCATAGGTTCATCCGCAGATCTCGTTTGGATTTGATTGTACGTACAATTACGCTTTTTGCATTTTCCGCATTTAAGTAAATCTGTTTTAGTCCCTTGCACGGTCGCCAATTGCGCGTCGTTAATCGCCTCTTTGGCGAACTTTTCGCGTAACTGTTTGACTTCGTCGTTCGCCATTTCCTCGGCAGTCATGACGGCTAGGCGCGACGCCGTTATCGCGCCTATGCGGAAATTGGTGCGCAACGTCGGATTTTTCGCGTCTTTCAGATTAGCGATGCGAGAACGAACTCTGTTCTTGTAACGCATGTCTGTGTTTTTGAACTCTTGAAATATGGCCTCCTCCAGCTCTTCGGCAAGATCCTCGGGACTAGCGCAACCTGCCGTGTGAAATTTAGAGATTACTACAAAATAATAATGGATTAAAATGATGCATTACAAGAGATCGATACAGTAAACTATGAGATATACTTATTTTTCTTTATTTATTGTGAAACTACGTTTGATTGTACTGGAATGACTTGACAACAATTGGATAATTTTTATATTGTACAAAGGGTATCCTCAAGAACCAATATCGGGCACACTTTATATGTAAATTTCACTTTGATCAACTTCTGCTATTACAAGCAACTATACTGTAAAGAAAAATTGACATCCATATACAATGGAACTCTACAGATGTTCAACAAATATTGCTCTGTTACTTTGTCAAAATGTGATGAAGATTCATAGATACTCTGATTCTATCCGCTAAATCGTACACACTATCACCCACTATTGGATTAAATAAGTAGGTTCAACATCTAAAATTTTTTTAAGTTGGTAAATAGAAAAAATTGCTACAGATCAGATTCATTGATGTAGCAGTACCAACAAAAACACCAACACTCAAAATGAAAAAAAAAGTTCCAACAAAATCTTAGCAAATACGTTGATGTTGATATTCACTTCCAATTATTGCTCTCAAAATGAATTCTAACAACACTGAAACACACACGTAGTTCAGTCTAAAGATGTATGCGATGGGTGATAGATAATCCCTTTTTTGGACCCAAAATGGAAACCCAAAGCGGCCTTGAACTGATACATATCTGAGGGTGACAAAAACCTACCCCCCCTCTCCCCCAGTTGTCAGGGAATTTCATTTAGTTTTTGACCCTACGTACCAAAAGAAAATGAAGGTTCTGTCTAAAGAAGTGAACTGGTTTGTGATACATAACTACACTTTCAGACCCAAAAGGAGACTATCACCCAAGCACCTCAAAAAAATATTTCACGCCTGTGAAATCGCACCTTCGTAGTTTTACTGGATTTTGGATCTCCCAAATGGCGGGGAAAAAGTGGTATTCAAAACTATAATGGCTTTTTTCTAGATAAATACAACTATTCTTTTTCAACATAAAATGAAAGATTTAATACACATATTCAAAAGGTTGTGTCAGGATGGTAGAACATATAGTTCCATGCATCTGTTTAGATATTTATCTAATTCAAAAAATGTGTGAACAATAATTGTTTTGTTTATTTAACGCCATCTTTTTTTATCTCCAACATTTTTATTCATACAATTTTGGTTGCAATTGCTTATTGCTACAAACGACCTCGCTGCATTCGTTGTGGGAAATTAGGCTATAGAAACCAAGACTGCCACTACCCCCTGACCAACCTCCTAAATGTGCTCTAAGCTCAAAAGAACATCCTGCCAACTATAAAGGATAAAGAGTTACAAGCACAAAAGTACCCATTGCTCTGCCAAAAGATCCCAACCAACCTCATGAAATAAATATAAAACTAAAAAAAAAGGTAGATATAGTACACTCATTTCATTTTTACTACACAAAGCATTTTTCTGAATATTGTTTTTATATCTCTTATAATTTACTATACTGGTAAAAAAAATAACACTTTTCGTTAACAAAACACAAAATCTGCACTAAAAAGTCAATAAAATTTTGTTTCAAAAAGTATTGCGATCTTTTCAATATTCATATTTCTCAATCTATTCTTGAGATCCACAACTACAAAGAATTCCGAGATCCTAATGTCGCGAATGACACATAACCTCAGTTTTCAGAAGCAGAACACACAAGTTGGTATTTAAATCTTTTAAAAACTTCGTAAGTTAAAGTTTAAACCATCATCAGCTTATATTTTCAGATTCCGCAGATTGGGTAATGGAAACTTTTGAGGGACCAAAATACAAAATTGAGTGTTTTGTTGGGAGCCACAATATTGCCATTTGAACAGTTACAGAATTAAAAATTTTCATAAATCCTGCGCATGTTCACTTGATGTAGATCCTGTGAAATTAAGAAATTAAAAGCTGCTCTTTTTGATTTTGAAAACTAGATTTATTTTGTGTGATAAATCTTTTTTTCAGATTCAGGGATAACAGGCACGATGCTTTGAAGTAAAATATAGGGTAAAATTGTCATACTATTCCAAAAATGTTGTTTAGAATCTTCACCTGCTTCCAAAAATGTATGGAACTGGAAAGGCACATCAAAGAATTAATATTTACTTCATACATTCACACCATGAATATAAAATTCACAACCTTTGCCATTTGAACCAAAATAATGCGATATTGAAGACATTTATTTAATTAATATTGGTTGTTTAAAATCTCCCACAGTTTCGTTTTATAATTCACATCACTTCAAATCTGTGGAACAAAATTAAACTCGTTTCTCCCTAAATATTTTGAAGAACCAATTTTTCGTACTATGCCTCCTCTTTTTGTGGATTCATGATGGCAAAACATACTTTTCATAGCTCCCAGGAATTTCATTTTGAATATTTACTCACTCCACAAATATTTAATTATTAATTTAATGCAACAATCCAATGAGAAGTAAATATCCCCCTTCACCCCATCTAAATTGGAAATGGTATCAGGATAGGGAGAGATGATACAAAAATTCTATTTTTTGACATAAAATTGACAGTTCTAACTAAGATGGCGACAGTGCCACATTTTACTTCTGCACCATTTGTTTTTTTTCCGTTATTGCAAACACAGTTTTTTGGATTTTTTAAACGAAGATTTTTGAAAAAATTCATAATTGGGTGTAATTTAAGCGCCATCACTAACACCTACAAAATATATTGACTTGTATTTTCAATTCCTTTCTTTTATTAGGCATGTTAGTATTTATCATTTTAACAATAAACAAAATCTATGTAACAATTACACTTACCTCTTATCATGAATCAAACGGATTCCGTTTGCCTCACCAATCAACGGCTTGCACATACTAACCCGCAAGATCTAAAAAAGCATAGATTACTTTTTTGGTTGCCATGTTCGATATGGCGGTCTAACCAGAGAGTAGGGGTACTGGTCGCAATATGCCAGTCTAATTATGTACATATATTTCGGCTTTGAGATTTTGTTGAGATCTTCTTGATTCAATACGATCTACCACCAAAATCATTTTTACTTATAGTTAATTATTTCCTATAGTTCATTCGAGGTTTAATTACAAGCCATTTACACATCAAACGCCTCGCTTAAAGAAAGCACTAAAGTAATTGGAAAAACAATTGAGTACTTTACTGAGCGATGAGTATTAATATACTCATAATTAATAATTAATAAATCATTCGGTAATTTTGGTTGTTTTCAAAAATTAATTATCCTAGTTAAGATTATTACCTAATAATGACCTATTTTGGTTAAAAAATAGATTGCAAAAATTAAAACCTATTTTAGTTAATCAGAAAATTGATTTCGTTTTGACGACAATGCTCCTGAAAGATTTTTATAAAAACGTTATTTCAACTGAAGAAGAGGCACGTACAATTTTTACGAGCGGAGGGGTTGTTATGTAATGTTGGGCCGTGTCATCGATGTGGTGCAGAAATGCAAGAAAAGCGGAGAAGAGAGCGTGGTTGAGAATCCAGACCAGTTTACCGATGTCCAAGAAAAGGATGTCAGACCACTAGATCAGTCAGACATGGGAACAGTTTTTTCCATTACACAAACCTAAATGGAAAAATTAACTGCAGTTTGTGTGAAATACTGGAATTAATATTCCTTTTCATTTTGAAGATTGACTTTGACACAGCAGTAAAGTTAACAGGGAATAAGGAAGAGAAACTGTGTGCGACTGGTACAACTTATGCAGAGAAGTGTGCTCCTCGATAGTGTCTGTTAAGCGCCGTGGAAAGCTTCGAGGCACGGAAGAAGATCCTATTCAAATTGATGAGGCCAGATTTGCAGGCAGAAGGAAATACAACCGGGGCAGGATGTTAAATGGTGATCATCCAGCAGAGTCCGAAGAAAGCGATGCAGAAGTGGAAAACAACCGAAACCATGGACGGAGAATTGATGGTCCGTGGGTCTTCGGATTGAGGTTAAGAGATGAAGTTCGATATTTTCATGTCGAAAGAAGAGATCGGGCTACCTTAGTTCCTATCATACAAAGGGAAGTTCAGGTTGGTTCACGATTCACTCTGATGAATGGCCAGCGTATGCCAATTTGGAACAATTAGGTTACGTTACGTGCATTCAAAAGTTAACCATCAACAAAATTATGTCGACCCACAAACAGGTGCACATACTCAAGGAATTGAAAGATCCTGGTTAGACGCCAAAGTGAAAATTTTGAAAAAAATGAGAGCGCACACTTTGCAATCCCATTTAGATTATGTCGCACGGAAAGTGTTGCGAAAAAACGCAGAGGATAAGTTTATTGCATTTCTGAACGACGTTAGAGATGTATATGTATAAATTGACAATGTAATCATCTTTACTGTATGTACATACACCGTTAATTAAACATAAGTTTCTTTCTTTTCTGAATATGTAGATTGTAGGTAGGTATAGTATATGTATAAATTGACAATGTAACCATCTTTACTGTATGTACATAGTTAAACCAAAGAGTAACCATAATCTTTGGTTAAACATAATAAATATTATTGACACTAGTTCGTTTATTGATCCGTAATACTTCTGTTGGTCTGCATATTACGTAGACCGCATATTGAACCAGCTACTCTATGGTAGATCACATTATACTGGGTAGACCGCATATCGAACTGACACCCTTTATTGTTGGTCAGACTGTTACCAGTCATGTTACTAAGCTCCTCTTTACGTATACGGAATCAATCCATAAAATATGGATCGCCAATTTTATTAATAACCCAGAACCCATTGAGCTACACCGCTATACTAAATAAATTAAACTCTCAACCTCACAAAATTCGATAAAAAATCAACTCGAGTCATATAAGCATATTTGATAATCAGTATACTAACTTATAATAGTGTTTTCTTAGTTTTACAAAAAACTAAGTGGCGCCCTATTTAAATTCAATCAACTATCAGGCTTCACCTGATTTCCCTATTTAATTGTATATAAAAACCTACCCCCTGTGCCACACACGTGCATACGTTATATCCTGCTTCTTTACAT